AGAGGCAATGACGTCAGAGCAGTGACGTTACTGCCTAACCTCCAAGCAGAGAAAGGATGCCCAGAACTTCAGCTCTCAGAGAACCAGAGCTCTGAGCAAGGTGACACCTGCCCAGCTCTGCCCCTTCCTGCCATGGGCTCCAGCCTCCTCTGCTGTGTGGCTCTGTGTCTCCTGGCAGCAGGTCCATCCTTGGTAAAGGTGTGGCATCTCTGTTCTAAGCCTGACAGTGCCTGAATCCATTGGGGTCCATCGGGCTCTCTCCTGCATTCTTTCTCCAGCCCCAGTTCCTTCCCTCTCAGGTGCAGTGGATTCTGGAGTCACCCAAACACCAAGACACCTGATTAAAGCAAGAGGACACCAAGTGATACTGAGGTGTTCCCCTATGTCTGGGCACCGCACTGCGTCTTGGTACCAACAGGCCCTGGGTCAGGGCCCCTAGTTCCTCTTTGAGTTTTATGAAAATATGCAGAGAGCAAAAGGAAACTTCCCGGGTCGATTCTCAGCACAACAGTTGTGTGATGCTCGCTCTGAGCTGAACGTGAGCTCCCTGTACCTGTGTGCCAGCAGCTTAACACAGCCCTGCTGAGTCACCCGCGTTCTGTGCAAACCTCCCTGCCCCAGTGGGGGCAACCTCAGAGGTGACAGATGCATGAGAGCCCAGAGATTGCAGTGGGAAAGGAAAAGACTGAGGGCGCTGGAAAGCAGCCACGGGCTCTTGTGCTGCTCAGGGGAGGGACCACAGAGGTCAAGAAGGTATGTTCAGAGGATGGGGCTACATCAGCAGGTTCCCTCCAACATGACCTTCAGGGCCTGACACTCGATGCTACCAGGGAGAAGAGAGTTTGTAACTTAATAGCCGGCGGGCTCTTTTTCAGGGAGAGAGAGTTCATTGGGGGAGCAAAATTACTTGATAAGTGTGTGATTCTAATAGAATCAGGGGTTTGCTTTATATGATTTAGGGAGAAGAAATGGAGATTTGGGAAAAGTCTAGGACAGAAAATATGGCTGAGATGCTTGAGAACAGAGCTAGAGCTACAAAATAAGTAAAAACTGTGTTATTTGTAACATGATCTCTTTCCTCCTCCCTCCCAAGGTCTTCAATCACCAGAAAATACTAAGCCAGGCCTTATAACAACCAGCATCACCTGGGGGCTGGCCCAGGTGAGGTCATCACCACACAGTTGATGTGATGATGGTATGAGAAGCCTGGACATGATTCTGACTTGTCCCTTCTTGACCTCTTACCCCAGTCCCGTCTCCTCGGGGCGAAGACGGGTGCCTCCCGCCCAGAGATGAGGGCAGGCCTCCCCTGATTATAAACAGGCAAGGGCTCCCCACATCAATTCTGCTTCCCTGGAATCGCTTTTTAACACTTCACCACCCAGATTCTATTTGCTCCAGAGCATCAGGATGCGTGACACTCTGTGACCAAATATCCCTGTAAAATTCCCTGGAACACCGATGCCTTTTCAATCCTCTTCTTCTGCCCTTGCTCTGCGCATGGCCTAGGGGGCCTCTCCTCCTGAAGCGGGACCAGGCGCTGCCCATCTTTCAAGCACTGGGTCGGACATGCCTTCCTCTTTGCTTTTTATCCTGACATTCACGGCTCTATACTATTGATTAGTTTGCTCAGGCTGCCATATTAAAATACCACAGACTGTGTGGCTTAAACAACAGACATTTATTTTCTCACAGTTCTGGAGGCCTGAAGTCCAAGATCAAGGTGCCAGGGTTGGTTTCTGGTGAGAATTCTGTTTCCGGTTTGTAGACAGCTGCCTTCTCCCCGTGTCTTCACGTGGCCTCTCTGTGCTTCACAGAGAAAGAGCTCTCTTGTGTCACCTCGTCTTCTTCTAAGGGCACCAGTCATGTTTTATTAGAGTCCCACCCTTATAATGTTATTTACCCTTAACTACCTCCCTCAAAGCCCTAAGTCCAGACACATTCACAGTGGGGCTTAGGGCTTCAACATATGAATTTCGGGGAGACACAATTTCATCTATAAAAACTACCTTGCTCCCTTTACTTTCATAGGAAAAGCTAAGTGTGTATATACTGGGGTTGGCCAAAAAGTTCATTTGGTGAATGAATACATTGTTCAATAAAATTCTTGGTGAAAATGAAAAATGTGTCTTTTATTTTTACCTAAAACTGAATGAACTTTATTTTTACCAATATATAATTGATACCCTTTGACACCTGTGAAATGAATTAAGTAATGCCCACTTATATATAGCTGCGTGGAATACTTTTTTCCCAGCACAACTCAGGCATTTATCCTAGTGTATGAACAACTGGACCCAAGCCCAGGCTTCCAATTTGTGTGAACATTTTAACATTTTCTTTTCTGGGTGTGTTTATGTCAGTGTTAAGTCTGATCATAATATTCCATATTCAGCCCTCTTCAGATCAAAGTACATTTGTTGATATAGTTCCCAGTGAGTATAGTGTAAAGTGTTAATGGAACGGTAACATAGAATTTAAAAAAAAAAAAAAAAAATATATATATATATATATGTAGTGGAATAACTGAGGACATGGAAAGGAGACGTGACCCATGAGCCCCCCCCCCCCAGCAAACTGGGGGCTGGCGAATAAGCCAGAACTGCAAACAGTCCTGATTGCTTTGAGCGCCCCCCCAGCAAACCGGGGGCCTGCGAATACGCATAGAGCGCTTTGGGCGCTGATCCATGAGATGTCCTCAGTCTAATCAGAGCGGTGGGAACGCAAGGAAATGTCCTTGTGCTGCTTCAGTATAATCAAAATAATGGTGGGAACTTTGCGCTGCTTTTGCGCTCAAGGACGAAGCGCGGCAGGTGCTCACGAAAGCCAATTATTGCTTGTATAATTAATAAAAACATAGGTTGCTGCTTTGGCATTTCTGAAATGTTAAAAAAACAAGTCTTAAAATGTAAACCTAGATAATGCTTTAATAAAAGCTACCACAGCAGGACAGACGGTGCTGATTTGCCTGAGTGAGCGGCAGCCCTCTACTGCTGTGCCTCGGCATAATTCATCTCGTGTGATGAGCTTACTTTCGGCCCTGTCGTAAGGTAAACTACAACTATATATATATATATATATAGGTTTTATAGTTAAACGTGGGTTTGAATCCAAACTGCCCCTCTCTTGCAATTTCCCTAATCTCTCTGAACTATAACAATTTCAGAATTTGGAGTTGGGATGTTTTCAATCACTTCTTTGCATTTGTCTGTATAGTTGATTTACATTGTTGTGTTAGTTTCAGGTGTACAGCTCAGTGATTCACACACACACACACACACACACACATATATATGTATATATACTTTTTCAGATTCATTTCCCTTACAGGTCATTACAAAATATTGATTATTGTTCCTTGTGCCCTTCAGTAGGTCCTTGTTGTTTATCTCTTTTATTTATAGTAGTATGTACATGTTAATCCCAAACCCCTAATTCATCCCACCCCACCTTTCCCCTTTGGTAACCATGAGTTTTTTTCCTATGTCTGTGGGTCTATTTCTGTTTTGTAAAAGAGCTTATTTGTATCTTTTTTTCTGTAGATTCTACCTATAAGCAGTATCATATGGTATTTGTCTTTCTCTGTCTGGCTTACTTCATTACTGTGGTAATTTCTAAGTCCAGCCATGTTGCTGAAAATGGCATTATTTATTCTTTTTTATGGCTGAGTAATATTCCATTGTGTATAGATACCAGATCTTTATCCAGTCATCTGCCCATGGACATTTAGGTTGCTTCCATATCTTGGCTAGTGTAAAAAGTGCCTTATGAACATTGGGGGTGCATGTATCTTTTCAAATTAGAGTTTTGTCAGGATTTATGCCCAGGAATGGGATTGCAGGATTATACGGTAACTCTATCTTTAAAGAAACCTCCATAGTATTCTCATAGTGGCTGCACCAGTTTGCATCCCCACCAACAGTGGAGGAGGTCCCCTTCTCCCCACACCCTGTCCAGCAGTTATTCTTTGTAGACTTTTTAATGATGGTCATTCTGACTGATGTGAGGTGGTACCTCGTTACAGTTCTGATTTGCATTTCTCTGATAATTAGTGATGTTGAGCATATTTCATGTGCCTTTTGGCCATCTGTATGTCTTCTTTGGAGAAATGTCCAGTTAGGTCTTCTGCTGACATGGTTGTTTATTTCGGGATTTTATGAGTTCAGAAATAAATGGGATGATATACATAAAACCTCTTTATAAAATGCATTATCTAGAATTTGGTAATACTTAATTTAAATATAAAATCTGGAAACTATGGATCCGATTAGTCAGAAGGAGCTATGGAATACATGTTTCCAGCCTGGTTTCACTTGAAATCATCAGTGTTTATTTTTACGCCCTATTATTGCGTCTTAGCATACTGCCGTCATTGCAATGGTGCAGCAAGTATTTGCTTCTTAATGGAAATGGATCGTACAATCTTTCACCTCCACAGGCTAAGAGTGGATATGAAGATCAACCCTAATTTAGTCAGGCTGGGAAGGCAGTAGAACAGGTGTGTGTGTGTGTGTGTGTGTGTGTGTGTGTGTGTGTGTGTGTAGTGGTTTGCAGGTGGGGTTGTGGGGAATTTCTATTCTTGATTTAGGCAGAAGCTGTAAATCCATGATACCGTGGACAGTTGGCCACTTGGAGGCACTGTGGGCCCAGGGTACTCATGGCGCTGATGGGGTTGACAGTCACCCAGGAGAGGGCAGCTTAAGGGAACCTTGGCTACATGCCTGCATCAGGGGCCCTGGTTGAGTTCACTGAGTGGTCCCAGGACAGGAGGAGCGAGCACAGCCTTCTCACTGCTCAGGGAAGTGGAGATGCATCTTGAGCCCCAGGATGTGCCAAGCAGGCGTCTCCGGGAGACTGCAAAGGAAGTGGAGGGTGAAGGGGTGGGGATGGCTGGGGAGGACTGGGTGATTGTTATCAGGCAGGGGCAGGCAGAGGAGAACAAGTGTGTCGTGGGCACGCGGGGATGTGGCGATGGTACTCATCTCACGCCCACCCTTTGCCGAGGGGCTGTGCAGGTCAGGGAATGGCATAGAGTAGCTGGCCGGGGTCCTGCCAAGGGGTGCAGTGGACCAGAAGACAGCCTGCAGAGACATCAGGGCAGTGACATCATGGGAAAATCTCCTACCAGGGAAACAGGAAGTTCAGCTCTTTAGACCACTCACCCCCGGACACCCGCCCCGAGCTAGGAGTTGTTTGGTTCCTGACGCTGCCATGGACTCCAGGCTCCTCTGCTGTGTGACTCTTTGTCTCCTGGGAGCAGGTGAGTCCTGGGCACAGTGTGGAAGCTTCTGATATGCCTTCGCCATCTCGAGATACAAGCCGATGAGAGCTGCAGCAGGGGGCTTCCCAGCGCTCTGCCCTCAGCTTCCTTCTGTCTCCCCGCAACAGGCCCGGTGGATTCTGGAGTCACCTTGACCCCCAAATACGTGATCAAATCAAGACAACAGCAAGAGACACTGAGATGTTCCCCTGTCTCTGGACACCTCTCTGTGTCCTGGTACCAACAGGCCCTGGGCCAGGGCCATCAGTTCCCAGCTGAGTATTACAGAGGGGAAGAGAGAGGAGAAGGAAACATCCTAGATAGATTCTCAGGCCAACAATTCAGTGACTCTAGCTCTGAGCCTGACTTGAGCTCCTTGGAGCTGACGGAGGCGGCCCTGTATCTCTGTGCCAGCAGCCAAGACGCAGCCCTGCATGAACAGCTGCCTCTGGTACAAAAACATTCCTGCCCCAGCTCAGGAAGTGGCCGTGAGGGCGTTGACTGCCAGCCAACCCCTCCCAGGCCCTGGTAAAGCAGACAGCCTTTCGCAGGTATTATTTCTTTGATATGTATGAATGCTCCCAAAGAGCATGCATAATAAATATTATTTTACCTGTTTGTATATCTGAGGAGGAGTGTCTTGCCCAGATCTCCTATTTCATAACTGTCAGAGCAAGGAAGCAGACTCAAGTCTGTCCTCAACACCTGTGGTCCCTGCCCTATAGAACAGTCCCCCCATAGAACAAATATGTGTGTGTGTGTGTGTGTGTGTGTGTGTGTATATATATATATATGTATATATACATAATTTAAGGGAGTTGGCTCACATTGTTTTTAAGGCTGATACGTCTAAAATCTGCAGCTGGGCTGGTGGTACTAGAGATCCAGGGAGAGCTGATGTTTAAGTTCAGAGGCTGTTAGGCAGAAGGAGCCGATGTTCCAGTGGAGGCCATCAGCTGGACAATTCTCTCTTACCTGGGAAGATTAGGCTTTCTGTTCTATTCATGTCTTCAACTGATGGGATGTGGCCCACCTACATTATGGAAAGTCATCTGCTTTACTAGCTAAAATGTTAATCTAGTCTAATATTAAAGTCTACCTATTCACATGTTAATCTCTTCCAAAAACACCCTAACAGGAACACCCCGAATAGTGTTTAACTAAATACTTGTGGCCCAGCCAAGTTGACATATTACATTAGCCATCGCACCATCTTCCAAGGTTGCATAAAAATTTAGTAAGCGTGAAGTACCTGGCACATAACAGAACTCTGCATTTCTTGACTCCCTTTGCTACTCTCTGACAGCCTCTTCCACCGTTTCCCAGGGGCAAAGTTAGAGATGGAAATATTTTGCCTGTAGTTGAGGACTTCAGAAGTCACAGAAAGGTGAATATTTATGCCCGATGATTCATTACGTGAAATTAACCAGAGCATGTAATACACATCCCTCATCAGGCATTTTTAAATCAAATTTATTGACAGATGAATGATAGTTAAGCCTTGAACAACGTGCAGTTTAGCAGAGGCTAGGGGCTCTGAGCCACCCCCAAGCCCACAGTCAAAAATTTACATATAACTTCACACTTGAATGTCCGTATCCGCGGTTCTGCATCTGAAAATTCAACTAACTACAGATCCTGCAGTACTGTAGTATGTATTTATTAAAAAGTGGACCCACGCAGTTCAAACCTGTGTTGTTCAAGGATCAACTGTATATACAATAATCATTACACACTTTATAATTGACAGGTCAATGGTTTTGCTCAATATATACGTATATACCCATGTAATATCTACCCTATTAAGATATAGAAACATTTCCATCTCCCAGAAAGTTCCTTCATGCCCCTTTCCCATGTCCCTGTCCATCCCTGAAAACCAAATAAATGATTTCTGTTACTATAGATTCGTTTTGCTCAGGCATCTTTTTAGTGAAAATTTAAGGTCTCTAACCATTGAAACAATTCCCCTTTAGCACAGAGCTAAATATTTAAGACAGTTAGGTGCTACTGGAAAGTGTTATGGTTAAAAAAAGTGCTTGAAATCATGTGATACACAATATCCACTTCAGGGACAATCCTCGCTGGGGATGGAAAGTTTGATAAAATGACCATCAAAAGGTCTTGCCAGGTGGTAGAAGCTGTTTTTATAAAATTTATTCACTTTTAGAAATTTCTTTTCTCATGCACCCATTCCCAGAAATCATTTTATAATGATATTTTGATAAGAAGTCATCATCTCCCAGGAAATTATTTTGAGATCCCATGAGACACACACAGAGCAAGGCTTCATGTTCACACACTGTGTGCTGGGCTGTGCAGACAACAGGCAGTAGCAATTTCGGTGAGAGATCATTTCACGTCAGGAGAAGGGTTCCCTTGGCTTTTACCCCCAGTATCCAAGACACAGGCCTTGATCTGGAAAGTCCCCCTTTCTGTTCTGGCCTTGCCTGTGCACCGGTCTCCCATGCTGTGTGTCCTTCTGTCTCCTGGACTAGGGATGTCTGAGCACAGATGTGGAACCACTCCGGGGCTTGCCAGGCCCCAGATCAAGGCTTCTTGTTGTGGTTACATCAGGATCCTTCTTTGCTTCTGACTTTAGTTTCTGTGTCTTTCTCTCCCAGACCCCAGGAATGCCGAGTCACCAAGACCCCAGACATGTGGTCACGCTCAAGGGAAACCAGCACATCAGGCAGTACCCACAGGTCCAAAATCATGTACTCAGGACCAGCTACATAATTTGCAGGGCCCGTGATTCTAAACTTATTTAGAATGAATATCACGGCAGCAGGACATGGCAGCAAGTACGGGGTCCTTCTCAGTGTGGGGTTATGTGCAACAAGGTACAGTTTGGGGCTCTATGATATTTGTGACTCAATTAATGACAGATGCTACACCAGGAGGTATTCCCCATGGAATGGATGTCTCACGTAAAAACAGAGCATTTTTCATTTACCCTGGAGTCTGCCACCTCTCACCCTGTCCCGCCCACATCTGTATTCCTCTGTGCTAACATGTCATCTGCGGTGCTGGGCAACCATCTCTCCACAAAGGAAGGTCGGTCATAGGCGTGATGTGGCTCTGCTGCTGCTAGATGTCCCCTCCTGACGCAGGAAGCACGTGCTCAGGTGACCAGGAAGGAGTTGCAGCTGCCCCTGTCGGTGAATTGACAAGAAATAGAGCCAAACGACTCCTCAAATGTTGATGAGCCTGAGGTTGGGAAACCAGATACCAGAAGAATCACTGTAGGTGGAAGGACAGGACCAGGACTGTGATGAATTAAACAAAGTAGAAACAGACACTTGAAGAGTATTTGGGATGCATGAGTCATAAAGGGCAGCAGGAAGCCATAAGGATTTTCCCCGAAATTCAAAACTAGATTAGATAAATGAAACCAATATACATATTAATGAAGAATTATCTCTGGGATAAAATACACATAAAGTTACAAGGTGTTTTACAGAAAAGTTAACAAAACTTGTAAGACAGGCATCCATTCAGAGGAACGCGTTCTTCCTGTTCTGAGCTGTTCACTGGAGGTTCATGTTTCATTTCAGCCTCTGGGGGAAGGGGCGTGGCCCCCTGTGACGGGTTGGCTCTGGGGCCAGGCAGGGACAGTGACACCTCAGAATGACTCCCTGGAGAGCCCCTCTGCCCTCTCCTCAACACACAGAAGACCCCTCTGCCTGCCCGCCTGCCCTGCCATGGGCACCAGCCTCCTGTGCTGTGTGACCTTCTGTCTCCTGCAGGCAGGTGAGTCCCGGGAAGGGTCCCTTTCGGGGTCCCGGCACCAAGCGTGTCCCCTGTGTCTGCAGCATCAGCTTCTCCTTCTCCACAGGTCCAGGGAATGCTGGTGTCACTCAGGACCCAAAATTCCGGGTCCTGAGGACAGGACAGAGCACGACCCTGAAATGTGCCCAGGATCTGGACCACAACTATATGTACTGGTACCGACAAGACCTGGGACACGGGCTGAGGCTGATCCATTACTCAACTGCCACTGGCACCACCAACAAAGGAGACGTCCCCAACGGGTACAGCGTCTCCAGATCAAACCTCGAGAACTTCCCTCTCACGCTGGTGGCTGCCACCCACTCCCAGACATCTGTGTACCTCTGCGCCAGCAGTTACTCCACGGCACTGCACGGCCACCTCCTCTCTGCACAAAAAGGCAGGGGAGGCCCTGCACCCCGGGACTCAGCAGAGCCCCTTGCAGGCTCCTAGCACCTGGAGCCTTGGAGCCCTGAGTGCCAGGTGCCTGCAGTGTGACCCTCAGTGTGTGGTCTCGGCCGGCCCAGACCTGACTCCATGGCCTTGCAGATGTGTGCCCACCACCACTCTTTGTCTTTCCTCTGCAGCTGCCCTGTGAGCAGAAAGATGCTGCCCCAGCTCTGACTCCTAGCCATCAGCCTGAGTCTGAGGCCTCCAGGAGGGAACGTTATTGGTAAATCACATACATCTAGATCCTCTTGTCCATCCCCAGGCACCTCACTTCTGTTTCTCTGGAAGGTTCTCCCCCAGACTGGCCCTTACGTGCTCTCTGCTCTTTCCTGCCTTTCCCTGGCGGGGCAGGTCTTCCCACCTCCATGATCTCAGATTTCCGGCCCTCTCTACTCCAGCCAGGCTGCTCCTGCCTCATCTGGGTCATGTCCCGTCCCATCTAAGAGATGTCAAAAGCTACTTCCTCTGCACTGGACACAGACCATTCCTTTTGTTGTGATTAACTCCTGCCCATGTTCCTGTTCAAGGTCCCACTGGGTGGTCAGGCAATTCTGGGCACACCTGTTTCCCAGGAGAATTGTGAACACGGTCGGGGTGTCTCTGTTCGAGCTTTTCCAGGTCCGGACTATGAACTTTCCCCTTGTTACTGTGGACTACACCTCCTTCCTACTCATAAGCGGGCCTCCGTCTTCTGTGTGTGTGTGTGTGATGATTACAAGTATGTTCTTCCTTACTGTCCCCAACTTCTGTCCCCACAGGTCACACAGGAGCTGGACTGTCCCAGTCCCCCAGGCACAGGGTCACAGGGAGGGGCCAAGCTGTAGCTCTCAGGTGTGACCCAATTTCTGGTCATGTTTCCCTTTATTGGACTGACAGACACTGGGGCAGGGCCCAGAGCTTTTGATTTACTTTCAAAACAGGGATGCACCAGAGGCATCGGGGATGCCTAATGATTGGCTCTCTGCTGAGAGGCCTGAGGGCTCATACTTGCATCTGAAGATCCAGCCAGTGGAGCCTGGGGACTCAGCCGTGTATCCCTGTGCCAGCAGCTTAATCAAACGGTGTCACACAGTCGCTTCCTTCTTGTTCACAGACCTCATCCTTCTCTCTCCTTGCAGTTCCTAGAGACCTTAAATAGGCTGTTTTTTGCTTTCCATTCACCAAAAAAAAAAAAAAAAGAGGTTGATTTGGACATCAGCTGTTCTTTGGATAGAAAGAGACCACAGGTTAACTCCTGAAATACTGTGGCTGTAAATGTTGGTGGATAGAAATCATTATGGCTCCTGTGTTCTAGGAGTCCCAGGGCCAGCTCAGTGCTCCAAGGCAAGGACCCAAAGTCCCGGACATAACAGTCTTCCATGGGTCCTTCGGGGGCCTGCCCAAATACGTGGCTTTGGCTGCCTGTCTGTGCAGTGAGCAGAATCTCCTCTGTGCTTGTGGCTGGCATCTGGAAAGTTTTCAACTACCTCCTGGGGCATACTCTTTCTTCTAAAGCCTCTTCTGTCCCTGTCACATTGGAAGTTTTCCACAACATAGCATCAAGACTCTCTTCCTCTTCCTGTTTTATTTTTTTATTTTTATTTTTTGCGGTACGCGGGCCTCTCGCTGTTGTGGCCTCTCCCGTTGCGGAGCACAGGCTCCGGATGCGCAGGCTCAGCGGCCATGGCTCACGGGCCCAGCCGCTCCGCGGCATGTGGGATCTTCCCGGACCGGGGCACGAACCCCTGTCCCCCTCATCGGCAGGAGGACTCTCAACCACTGCACCACTAGGGAAACCCTCTCTTCCTGTTTTAAGTAAAGTTCTTACTACTTTTGTGCCAGTTAATTGACAAACACAATGTTGAAAACAATAAGACTTCATTTCCTCTGCCTCATTTCAGCAGCCCACTTTATTTTGTTTTCATGTTTTCACTGCCCCAGTCCCGACAGGTACACTAGAGCATACTTTTACAACCTCTCCAGTTTCATCTTGATTCCCTGAGTAAATCTGTTCTCGAGAGACTGTTTTATTTCATGCCCTAGACTTTCAATTTGAAATAATTTCCCTGAAACCTTTACCTTATTTTCTAATGCCCCATCCCTTTTTATGTATTTGCTATATTATATATTGTTATAGATATTCATTGTAAGCATAAACACCTATATTGTAAATAACATCTTCCATCCATCTGTGGGCGAAGCTGCAGTTTGAATGTATGAAATCTAAGGCCCTGGTCAGAGTGGATATGATTATGGATCATGTCTTCTGGGAGTCCTAAGAGATAACCCAGCTCCGAGACTGGGATTGAATGTCACGGCCATGGTAGAGGCTCCCTGAGCCTTGCATAGCAGGTAAGGGGAGTGACAGTTGCCCCAAATCCACTTATCAGAAATTGTAGTGGCTCTGTACAACAAATTTCTTTCCCCAGGGAGTGAACATCCATGGGAGGGAGTTTTCCTGGTCTTTAATTGTGGCACCAGCAAAGCTCCCCTTGCTCTGTTGCCCTGTGCCTCTGGGGAGTGAGGAGAGCCAGGGCACACATGGGAATTCCCTACTCTTGGAATCCCATTCCAAGGACTCCCTTTCTAGATTTCATCTTCAATTTTTTTTTCCATTTTTTTCCCCATTTTTGCCACATGAACCTGGCAGATTCAGCCTCCTTATAATACTATTTTGTACCGATGTTTTCACATCTCCTAACTCCTCTGCTTCTTCCAGAATCATCTCTTCCCTCCCTGCTGCTCAAATCAGCAGATGCACATTGTACAAGTTTTCATTTAGTGGAGACTGTCCCTTGCTGGTCTTAATCCCATCCATCCTTATTTCCCCATCAGATACTGTTTCCTCCATGATTGCTTAATGCCTTGTAAGATGTTCTTATTTTTCTTACATTCCAGTTTTACTTTTTATTCGTACACATTTGACCCCATCTCGAAGGTAATTTCATTACCTTCCCAGTCCTTTGCTAATCTACATTTTGGAGTTAACATTGGTTGTCTTTTATTTTTCTTCAGCATTTTTCTTTATCTTTTGTAATGAAGGTAAAAGAACCTCCTTACACTTCAAGGTCTGTGTTTTTCTTCCTACTTTGAACATTAGTTTAAAGTAAACATAGTTTAACTAAACATTAGTTCCTTTAATTTCTCCCATTCTATCCCTCTCCCTTTCAGAAGATAATTTTAAGGGGGAAGAACTCAGTTGGCCTATAACTGGCAGACAATGCGATAGTGGTTGAGCAGAATGAGGGCGGCCTATTAAGCATGATAAATCAACGGAATAGTTTGGGTTAGAACTGGTGTTGGGATTAGCGTTGAAGGAAGTTGAGCATAAAAGGTGATCGTGCAGACACTTCCAGCACCCCTTGGGCCACTGCAGAAGAAACAGTGATGAAACTTCAGGTATTGGCCACAAGATGGCACTATGGCGCCACCGAGATCTAAGGGGCTCGGGGCAGAGTCTGGGAGAGCAGCCTGGGAGGAAAAGGGTTAAGAAAAACTTAGGCGTGGATCCACTACTCGACAGCTGTTGAAGAAGTTTTCAGTTATTGCCAAACTACCTACAGCTATGGAAGAAGTGGGAGGCCCCTCTAAACTGTAATGAGATCCACAGTTGAAGGATTTGGGCGAAGCAGCCTTGATGTCAGGGGCAGGTGCAAACAAGGAGCAACTGTGTCAGAGGAATATGGGAAACCCAGGGGGTGGAGTGCACCCAAAAGTCAGTGCGTCGCAGCCCTACTCCACCTCCCCTGCAGGCAAGCTAAGCAACATCTAGGAGAGGAGACGCTGACCTCACCTGAGCCAAGTCACAGGGGGATCCTCCCGGGGCGGGGAGAATCTGCAGGGGTAGGGGGAGTGACATCTCAGGCAGCCCCACCTGGCCATTGGAGAAGAGCCCCCCAGCTCCCTCTCTCAGGCCTGTGGAACAGAGCATTTAGTGGGGACGGCCCTCTTCTCGCCCTCACCCTGCCATGAGCCCCAACCTCTTTTGTGTGATTCTTTGTCTGCTGGTGGCGGGTGAGTTCGGAACTCAGCTGAAACCTCTGCTGTGGGTTTGCAGAGCCCCAGCTCCAAGGCTTTCCCTTTCCTTTGCAGATCCACGTTACTCATTGAGCCTTGTCTTTACTGTGTGTCTGCCTCTTCAGCAGGTCCCATGGATGCAGCAGTCACCCAGAAGCCAAGATACCATATTATACGAGCAGGAAACAAGATGGTCCTGGATTGTTCTCAGCATATGAACCATTTGGGAATGTTCTGGTATCGGCAAGATCTGGGACAGGGGCCGAGGCTGATCCATTATTCAAATGGCGTCGGTAGCACTGGCGAAGGGGATGTCACGGAGGGGTACAGTGTCTCCCGAAACAAGAATGAACATTTCCCCCTGACCCTGGAGCCGGCCAGCACCAAACAGACCTCCCTGTACCTCTGTGCCAGCAGTGAATCCACAGCACGGCACAGTCAGCTGCTCTCCGCACAAAAAGCTCAGCCACAGGCGTGAGGTGGACACTTCTTCCTGAGGCCACGTCTCACCAGGGGAGAAAAACTGCTCTTTCTGAAGCTCTCACCAGACTAGTGTGAACTGAGGTCCATCAGCGTGAGGGGTGTGAGTGTGAGTGTGTGTGTGTGTTTGTGAGTGTGTGTGTGTGTGTGCGTGCTCTAATTTGAAAAGACACATGACCCCAATGTTCACTGCAGCACTACTTACAATAGCCAAGACATGGACGCAACCTAAATGTCCACTGACAGCTGAATGGATAAAGAAGATGTGGTGCATATACACAATGGAATATTACTCAACAATTTAAAAAAGTGAAATGATGTCATTTGCAGCAATATGGATAGACTTAGAGATTATCATACAAAGTGAAGTCAGACAGAGAAAGACAAATATCGTATGATATCACTTATACGTGGAATCTAAAAAAGGATATAAATGAACTTATTTACAAAACAGAACTATAACACACCATTGTAAAGCAATTATACTCCAATAAAGGTGTATAAAAAAAAACACACAACAGAAATAGACTCACAGACATGGAAAACAAACTTATGGTTACCAGAGGGGATAGGAGGGTTGGGGGGGGCAGGGATAAATTAAGAGTTTGGGATTAACATATACACACTACTATGTATAGAATAAACAACAAGCACTTACTGTACAGCACGGGGAACTATATGCAATGTCTTGTAATAACCTATAATGGAAAAGAATCTGAAAGAGATGATATGTATGCATATATAACTGAATCAGTTTGCTGAACACCTGAAGCTAACACAACACTGTACATTAATGATACTTCAATTTAAAAATGGTTAGAAAAAGTAAATGCAAATAGCACTTAGTGTTACGTCACTCAATTCAGAATATTCTGGTAATTGAATAAAGCAGAAGGACAGCAGCATCTAACATGAAATTTATATTTCACTTCCTTTTTCAGCGCAGAACTAAGCAGAAAGCAGCCGTGTAGCTTTAAATTCCCTGAGCGATCTGGGGCTCTCCAAGCTTGAAACTGTTACACAAAGGTGCCTGGGGCTCATTGAATACCAAGCAAGAATTCTTTGGAGAAAAACAATTTTCAGTAACAAATTATGAAACACGTAAGTAAACAAACCACTTAGGGGAAATGTGAGTAGATGCATCAAACAGCAGCATTAAACCCTGAGATGATCAACTGTAGAATTATCAAAAGAAAGATGACAAACTAAGTCTCTCCTGTGGGCATAGGGCAGTAGTTTGCATCTTCTGAGGTTATGAGGTCTTTTGAGGTCACTGAGAACTTCTCACGTTCTCAATATTTTATGCCTGTGACTGTTCTCTTCTCTTATTTGTGTGTGATTCATTTCTAAGTTGAACTACATGCATAAAATTGTATATGATTCCCATCTTTTAGGCAATTTGTAAATTAAGAAAGAACCTCATTTTTATCATCCCTTTGGCTTGGATTAAAATCGATGAGCTTTTCAATTTTTTTTTTCTTGCAAAATATTACAAAATGGTATTGGCAACAATTTATTCTCCCCCAGCCTGTATCCCTCCTCGGCTTCTTACGGGTGGAAGTCCATACACAAGAGCAGGGTTTCTTCACGTGGGATCCAGTAAGTCCAAGTCTGGGGGTCCATAGTTGGGCTTCACAGGAAGGGCAAACCCCATGTGCTGCTCACCCCTTGACCTGCTGTGCCATGTACACCCTGGGTTGGGGGAGCGCTGGCTGACCCAGGACCTGATTACAGACAAGGGAGCAGGCTGCTCTCTGGGCAAAAACTGAACTCACTAATTGGCCAATCTGCTGAAAGTCTAAATGGTGAAACTGACGAATGACCAATTTTGCCAAATTATGGCGTTTACAGCAGGTCAGGATGCTTGGAATGATTTCAACAGACTTTGAGGATTTTTTTTTTGAAGTTTTTGTTTGGCTACAGCTTTCCTTCAGCCATTGATCCTCAGCTATTTCTGAGCAAACTTGTCAGTCCAGCTTATTTTGAGGTCAAATTTGGATGTTGTATACTCCAATCACTGAGAACTTCTCATGTTCTCAATATTTGATGCATGGAATTGTTCCTGTCTTGTGTGTGGTTCGTTTCTAAGGTGGACTACATGGAATACACGCAATGAAATTGTATGTGACTCCCATCTCCTGTGTAATTGTTTATTACTGTTTTAGTCATACTTTATTTAAGGTGTAAATAGGGAGAAAAATGCTCAAATTAATACACATATTGCTTGGTAAATTTTTTTTTTTTTGGCTTGGTAAATTTTGACAAAGGCCTACACCAGTGCAACCATGACCGAAATCAAGATAAAGAACATTTCCACCACCCGAGAAAATTTCCTCATGCCTCTTCCCAGTCAGCTTACTTCCCAGAGCTATAACCACTTTTCTGACTTTTATGACTATAGTTTTGTCTATTCTTGAACTTCGTATAAGTGGAACCACACAGGAAATACTCTGTTTTATTGACTTCTTGTTCTCAAAATTATTATTTCTGAAATGTATTCATATTGTGTTTATCAGTACTTTTTTCTTTATAATACTGAGTCGTATTCCATTGTATATCACAATTTGTTTATCCATCCTCCTATAGATGGACGACTAGGTTGCTCCAGTTTTCAACTATTATGAATAAAACTGCACTGAATATCCTTGTACAAGTCTTTGTGGGTAAAAGCATTCCTTTCTCTTAGGTATAAACATGAGTAGAACTATGGATTCACGGGGTAGAGGCATATTTGTCTTTATTAGAAGCAGTTGAATAGTTTTCCAAAGTGGCTGCACCAATTTACAACACCAAGGGGTGGGGGTTCCCTTGACCCCCCGTTCACACCAACATCTGGTGTTCTTTTTATCATTAGCCATTCTATTGGGTTTGTAGCGGTGTCTCATTTACACTTCACTGATCAGTAATGATATTTACTTTTTTCATATCTTCCTATCTCCTCTTATAAGGTGCCTGCTTTGGAATTCGTCCATCTTTAAAAATCAGGTTGTCTTTATATTATTGATTTGTAAGGGATATTTTAATATTCTAGATAGGAGTCTTTTGACCATTAAATAGGCTGAGTTGGTCTTCGCCCACAGTGGGTTGCCTTTTCACTTTTTTAATGTTGACTTTGGTTAATTGAAGATTTAAATTTTTATAAAGTCTAAATTAACAGCTTTTTCTTTTACACTTGGTGCTCTTTGCATCCTGTTTGCCTACCCCAAAGTTATGAGCCTTTTCTTTCTATTTCTTGCTCCACTGCTTCACTTTAATAACATCATCCCTTGTTCCTTGCCATCAGCTGGAAAGGACCCACCTCCAAGTTCATGAGTTAATTCATCCCACTCTGCCCACAGCTTCCTATCCTCCCACACCTGTTCTTTGGCATTACCGGGATCTCCTATCCATTGGTAACTATTCTTTCTTTCTTCCTATTCCTTAGGGTCCTTCCATATTTTTATCACCTCCTGATAGAGTAGAATTGATGATGTTATAATACATTCTTTTAACCCTATCTTGCAAATATTCATTCTTTTACCATGATCCTCTTAGGTTGCCCTCTCGTTACAGAAACCCAAACCCGAGTGAATGCATGGATCTCGCTTTTTCAGGGCAGCAGCTGAGAGCTGTCAGAATAAATCACACCTGCACAAACTGGTATCCAGCATGATAAATCGGGTCACGAACTTTACCTGCCTTTACATCTCTGTTTTGAGATTTCAATTAGCTCACCCTCTCACTCAACAGAACATTATCTCAAATATTTCAGACATTCCCCACTCTCTGTAAAATTTACCCTCTTCTTTGCTTTCTTGCCTCTTAAATCAAAGGTGATCCCTGCAGTGGACGGCAGTGCCCACTGAGGGGGATCAGAGAGAGTGTCCTGAGGAGGGATCTGCATGGACCCCCAAGTTCTCCCCTGTGTATGTGAAGAAACACACCCTGCTGTAGACTTCCCTGGACAGGAGTAGCTGAGGAATGGAGTCATACTTCCGTGGATCCTCTTCAGATTCTGTCCCCAAGTCATACTATTTATTTTCACATTGCATATTTCTCTATGCTTCTGCTGACGGTCTCAGCAATGCTAACTGCAGAATGTTAGAAATTTTGTTACTGCTAATTGCAGAATGTTGGAACTTTTGTCACTGCTAATTGCAGACAGAACTTCTGTTACTGCTAACTGCCGAACGTTAGGACTTTTGTTACTTTTCAAAAAGGCCCAGTGCATTTTCCAAGCTCGTTTTTCCTTTTTTCCCTGGCTACATCTACTGTCTACTCTGCAGGGTGCTGGGAGGGTTGAGGAGGACCAATGAAGAGCCTATTTATAAAGGTGAGACAGGGTTTAGGGAGACCGGTAAGGGAAGAGAAGGGTCCTAGGACAGCATAAATGGGTGGCTCTTATCCCCATTGGCCTGAAAGGCATGGGGGAATGGTTCCCTGGGCAGTTGGCTGCTGTAATTTAGGGAACCGGCTGCCTTCCAGGTGCTGCAGCCTTTGGTGAGAACGAGTCGCTAGGCTGAAATGTAACGGGGAGAAGGAAGCCAAAGGGTACGTATTTATTATAAACCAGGACAGTGGTGCCCTGTCTCCCTTCACTCGCCTGCCATTATGTCCCATAAACAAAACTCAGTCTAGAGGAAGCCCAGTTACTATAATCTGTAAAGGTCAGCCTCACAGGGCAAGGTGAGTCTGGAGGGATAAACAGAAACTCTCCAGGATGCTACACTGAAGACGGGCTTGAGGGCAGTAAACCCCAAGTTGACTAGGTCTGTGCCACGAGCCCATAAAGGCAGAAACTTGTTTCTGGAGGATCTTCACTCCCAAGAATTTATAGCCAACCCAGGCCCCCTTCGGACCCAGTCAGATGGACTAAATCTTGGTGTCTCTGCAGCAGCACTGGCCGCTCAGGGTGAGGGCTGGGATTGCTGCCCGGGAAAGGAAAATATCAACACAAAGCTTGGTCTGACCCCAGCATCACAGAGATGGGGGTACCCAGGCAGAGGAGGAACCGGAGGCTTACAGACCCTCCCCCTTGGCTGATGTGCTGGTGGGTGAGTTCCGGCACGGAGCCCTGCAAGCAGAAGGGGGGCGGGGGGTGAGGAAGGTGAGAGGGGACGGGGCTTCCTGGCTGCTGGGGAGTGGGGGGCAAAGAGCATGTGCCTCACAGAAACATCAGCACAGCTGGGTGGGGACAGACTTCGC